TCGTGTGATACGGACTACGTTGGGCTTTTGGCCGATTACAAATAAAATGGTACATCACATCAGCGAATAATAATTTAAACTTGTAATCATGATAGTATTACTGCAGGCTTAACCAAGAATCATATCTTGCACACCTGCATTCTTGTGAGATATATCGCTTCCAATTACCAGATACGCTCCCAGCACCTCTTCCAGAAAGGCATGGCAGCCAGCTCACGCCTGTAATTCTCCTCAATACCACCCTCTTCCCAGTGCTTGCACTCCTCATCAACCTCCTTCTTGCCACTGACAAGGTCGGCACTCTTGGGGTTGACAAACTTGGTCTTCTTAAGGACCTTCCAGATAACAAAGAGGAAAACGGCATAACCGTGACAGAAGTAGCTGGTAACAAAACCCTGTGTACTCCAAGGCTCGAACTTGTCGAAACCAATAAAGATAAGCGCGACAGTGCCCAGGAACAGGCCGATGTAGGCGGCGTAGGGGTTGAAGGGGGCGACGTAGTGCAGAGCAGAGTTGTCGAGACCCTGGGCCTTGCGAGCGCGGAACCAGCCGATGAAGACGACAATCATCATGGTGTAGGTGGCGATGAGACCGGTAGTGGTAAGGTCGACAAACCAGAAGAAGACGGTGACGGAGGACTCGCCGGCGACGAGGAAGGTGATGCAGCTGAGAAGACTGACAACGAGAACACAGTACATGGGCACACCGGCCTTGTTGCACTTCATGAGGAAAGCAGGAGCCTGGCCATCGCGAGCAAGACCGTAGAGAGTTCGGGACGAGGAGTAGAGGTAGGCGTTTCCACAAGAGAGACCGGAGGTGAGGATGAGGAAGTTGATCAGATCGGGAAGACCGTGGATACCGAGGTTCTCAACTGCGAGGAAGCTGGTGAGTGACTATTATATTGTATTTGGGATCCATGATATGGGACTTACTGCCAATGACCCAGGGGGAAGAAGCAGCACCAGCAGCGCTGTCCTCGATAGCACCAAGCAGGCGTGTATCATCGGAACTGCAGATGATGCCGACGGCTAATACACCAAGGACGTAGAAACCAACAAGTCGGTAGAAGATGAGCTTGGCAACTCGGGGAATGGTTCTTCGAGGGTTGGCGATTTCACCAGAAGACAGAGAGATCATATCGGGGCTGCACATCGCATATCGTCAGTACAAAGATACACACGGTCGTCAGACGCAAAGAAACTTACCCAGCAATAGTGAAACCAGCATATAGGATAACCTTCCACCAACCGCAGAAGCGTCCGAGGTCGCCCTCTGCGTGATAAGGTCTCATAGCCTTGCCACCCTTCCAGTAGCGGAATCCGTAGGCATCACCCTTGGGGTTGCCACCGCACATGGTAATAAGAGTGATGAAGAGAAGACCGAACAGAAGGATAACCTTGAGGGATGCCATGATGAACTCGGCTTCACCGTAGTACTTGACAGCAACGACGTTGAGCAGAACGCAAATGACCATGGCCATAGCAACCCAGGCTGCAGGATTTATATCAGGTACCCAATATTGCATCAGAGTCGCAACAGCACTGTATTCGACACAAACAAGCATTAGACCAGCGTAGAAATACGTCCATCCCATAGCAAATCCTATCTAATCGATTAGTATATATTTTTTATGATTCGGGATATGTAAAGCGTACCAAGCGCAGGGTCGACGAAACGAGCAGCAAGCTCAAAGATGGAACCACGGATAGGAAGATACGAGCACATCTCTGCAACACACAAGTTGCAGGGCCAGACGAAAAAGACACCCCAGATCAAATATCCGAGAACGACAGAGAGAGGACCAGCTTTGGAGAGAACACCACCGATACCAACGAAGAGACCGGTACCGATGGAGCCACCGATGGCCATAAGCTGGACATGACGAGGGGAGAGGCCTCGCACGGTTCGGCCATATTCATTATCGACCGAGTTGTGGTCGATGAGAACACCAGGGGCTGTGTCGGAAACATTGGGAGCCTCAACGGCTTTAGACTCGGGGTCTTCGTGATAACCCATGATGAAGAAGACGAGGCTGTATAAAAACACTCAAACTTTCTTCCTGCAATTGGATCGGAGATGGGGTTATAAGAGGGATGTTTGTCTTGTGGACACAAGCCTGGACATAAACATCTTTGAGATTTGGGGGGAGAGATGATCTTTTATGAAGAATCATGTCGCTGTAACCATGATCAAGGATATGCATTATGAGAGCCGGCCCGGTTTTCTGGAAGAGGAACTGATGGTGTAGATTAAGCTACCATGACCAGGAGGAGGATCTAGTTAGTGTAGCTATTCGAAACACAAAGTTGCCCGAAACTGGTAACTGCACTGCAATGCACACGCAGAAGTGAAGGGATACCATGCTACACTAGCTGACTAGGCACCGTGAGTGACATTCCCCACTGCTAGCTATAGAGTATGGGGCCCTGATAAGCAGTGTAGTAGGTAATAGTAGATAGAGGCAAATAGAAAGCGGCTCTCCAGTGAAACCTCGAGGACCGGGCCGGTGGTCTTCACTCAAACGGGCAAGTACGGGCGACGTAGTAGTATGATGTGGGGAGAAGTAGGACAAGGCATGACTCGGAGAAAGCGAAATTGTATGTAGAGAGTAAAGTAGTGGTGGCTTGGAGTTGGAGTGTCAGTTTGGGGGAGCGTTAGAGGTGCCAAGAAGGAAAAGAGGCTAGGGGACAATCCTTGCCTAATGTTGGCGTGCGGGCAACGGTTATCAGTTGGGTCGAGATAGGCAGTTTTACGGCGGGAAATAGCATCCACCGCGGCTAAGATATATTGCATTGTAGTGTAATTCAGTGATGGTATAAGTGAATTCTTCGATTGAACAAGTCCTCTACACCGACTACAAACCAAGTCATCAGGCATCTGTTCAGTGGCATCTCTCAAGTTTAAGAGGGCATCTCCAATAACTGTACTGCACTCCAGGCGCTTCAATACCCAACCCTTCCTTTACCGCGGTTCCGATGCAAGGTTCTTACCCCAGACAATTCAACTTGGAATTGTACGTAATGAAATACAAGTTACTCTCGGTACCGAGGCAATGGTTTCTAAAGTACATCTCCCCCAATACAAAACTTCAGTGTCAGAAAAGTCTCTGTCAGAAGAGGAGAAATGCGGGGAAACGAATGAACGAGGTCTTTTTTTCCCGCTCTTAATTTTAAGCATGGGTTTAAGTCTAAGCTCGTTGATCCTTGTCCTAATAGCATCGGTCTATCGGATTGTGACCGATTTGCATTGCGAGTCATTTTACGTGATGATATTGATTCTGTTTACTGAGGGAATGAATGAATGAATGAATGAATAAATAGAATCAGAAGCAAGACACGATGTGATAGTACGATCATCTTAAAGATAAATAACTTGGCATCATTCAGGTACGACACAAACCCTGCAAAAGCTGATTTGGTTGGGCTATCTTCTTATCAGTTCCCCCCTGAGCGCGCTTATTTTGGTTGGAGAAGTGCACCGTAACAAAGATAAGAATAGCGCTGTAACAAGTCTAGACAGGCACTCCTCTCTCTCCCTACCCCAACTGTTCATCAGCTTCCATGCATCCGAGTTTTTCTTTTTTTTCTCCAAATTTTGAACCTACTAACTTTTGTAAATAACTTCACACTTGAACCGCCAAGTGCTGTAACCACTTATTTCCCCAGATCTACACAATTACGCAAAGATCTCCTCCCCCGCAAACTCCAGTAAAAAAAAACAAGCAAGAGCCCAAATCTCTGGAGATTTGTTGGGGCCCCACGAATACCAAGTCGGAAAAAACGTAATAGAAAAAGGAACATGACATGACATGACATATGTCCATCTATCCGAACGACAAACGACTGTGGGCACGGAACCATCCGGCCCCTCATTTTCTTTACCCTTTTTTCGTTCCTATGCGAGTTTGTTTCTGTAAGAAAATAGATTCAGCTGAAATGGAAATTATTGCCCTGCCGGTTCCTCTACCTGCTCCCGGTTGATCGACTAACTACTGTAAGCCCAGCGCCACAAGCCATGTATAGAACCGTTATAGCTGCCCGTGAATGGACAGAAAGGTCTTCTAGAAGAGAAGAACTGAATGTCTTCCTGTGCAATGTGAGCCAGGGTGTGATATGTGTGTGTGGGGAATACTACATAATCCTGGTCACCATGGTAGACTCCAACCAGACCATGGAGGGGGGGAAAAGCTCAAAATAAGCTTGAAAACTAACAACTGGGCGGTCGGCAGTCGTGCATAAACCTAACTATTCAACTCACTAGTCGTGTTTTCTTCCCTATTCCTTTGAATGGACCGGCCCGGTTGATGATATATATCTCTCGACTTAAAGGTAGTCGTTGGGGATCCACCCCCGGATGCCAATTCTAGCTTGGCGATTTGCCAAGTTGATAGACACTCCATCTATAGTCGTTCCTAAGATTGTGCTTGATACTGAATCATGAGAATTACTGTCGTTGATCATCTCGATGCTGGACTGAAAGAAGTCAAAGTTAAAAGCTCATATGTGCTGGAACTTTCACCAACCCAGAGTTCAGCTGTATCCAGAATAGTCACGCAACTTCATTTCCAGTTTAGCAACCCAGATGAAATTGCACAAAACGCCATCACTTTATTCTTCTTCATCTACATCCGTGAATATATGCCTGCAAGTTCAATCCCTGCGCCCTCTTTTCCAAACGCTCCGAATGCTTCAATATCCATATAGACCAGTCTCAACAAGAGACTCAAAACTAATGAGGAGAAACGCCTGCGCCCCTCCAAAGACGTACCAGTGCCAGGAACAATAAACTTTGATCATCATTACCCGATGCTAGCACGAGCCGGCATCTCATCTCCCTTATCGATCCTACTATGTCACGCAGTATACACACCTCCATGCCACGCGAGGATTTCAGCTGCCACACACCCTTTCCGTACGGCCGGGTTCAGGGCTGATGTACCGCTGAGCAGTTGCGGCGTAACTGCACCCACCTAGTACTAGCCTTGACGACCCGAGTGCACTCTAAAGATATCGCGTCTTGAGCCATTCTTCATCTCGCAGTCCCAGGTTCAGCCCGTTTTGTGTCCACCAACGCCGAACAGCACTCTGATCTCCTATGCTGTCTTCAAGTGCCTCTTCGATGTTGCATGTCCGGAATTCTACCTGTTGTTTTCGGCCCTCCATGCCCTCAAGCTCTCCGTGTGCAAAGTTACGCCACCACTCGAGCACCGATAAATGCTTGAATATGGTGGGCGAAACGAGAACTTCGGCATCAAATACAAGCTTGTCATCTCCTTTGAGGCGTCTCCAAGTCTCCAGAACCTCAACTTGGCCCCAGCGACTGGCCACCTTGGCAACACTGTCGCCATGTGCAGCAGGAATACCTGAAGCATCCCACCACCGTAAAACATTAGCTTGCCCATGTTGTGTTGCCCACAGGAGTGACCGGCCCGGCCGAAGAACGACTTTATCGTCCTGAGCTGCTGCGTCGCGCCACCATTCAAGGACCAGAAGATGGCCATTTCCACTAGCCTGCTCCAGCGCCGACTCAGTATAACGCATTCCTAGGCCAGATCGTCTCCACCACCAGTCCAAAACACGAACATGTCCAAACCTAGAGGCGCCGTCGACCGCTTCTGCATCGTACACATGACGATCTCTGAACCATGCACTCTGTTTCCAATAGTCCAACACATCGACACGTGGATAATAAGCGGATGCTTTAGTAGGTAGTGTCGTGCCGTCAAATGCCTTGAAAAGATCTGGCCGATTGGCTTCCATATATGCCAATACGTCAATAAGACCAAACTTGATTACGAGTTTGATGACCAAGGCTGATATATCGTGGAATTCTGGTGGAGATTGCGATATCTTTTTACATATCGCTGCAGAGTTGCAAGTTAGAACTGTCCACTCGAGCTCGTGCTCGTACACCTTGAGTGGATCATTGGGGTCCCTGGGTTGGCTTGACCATGTCGTGGGCATTGGAAGGTTGGTGTACATTCCCAGAGCCTTTGAAAGTTCCCAATCCCCTGCATAATCGAGAATAATAGTCCAGATCTCGGGTGGAAGCTTGCACTGGACTCTTACGTCTGCATCGTCTGTCATGCCCAGTCCAGTCGCAACTTCAACATCTCGTCCCAGCCCTAATAAGTCGGCCTGGTTTTTTATTATCCCCAAAACTTCGTTGAAACCATTCCAGTTAGGCACTCGTTTCGGGTTGGGCGATCCTTCGTAGTGCCACAATATCGGCGTCACCACACGTATCCAGCTCCATTTTCGGTGTAATTTGTTTAGATGCTTCTTGGTCATCGGATTTGACCACATATGCGTGCTCATGCCAGGAACCAAGACGATGCTTTTTTGGGTGTCCCATCCTCTGAGTACTTCGCCGAGGAAAGTGTCGGTTACGCCGGCCAGCATCTTGGCGATGCTGTCGGCATCGAGGGGTACACAGACCATGAGATCTGCCCATTCCACCAGCTCGAATGCTTGCTGTCGATAGAATTCGATATCGTCGGCCCTATCGCCCGCTCCGAGGGCCAACCCTCTATTTTGCATCACAATGATGGTTTGTGTTAATCGCGGGACTACATCGTCGACGATTGCTCGGGCCTCGATCTGTGGATTTTTGGAGAGGCGCACAACGAGTGCTTGAGCCCAAGAGGTATCGCGAGGACCGGTGGCGGCAACTAGAAGGCGGAGTTTTCGGTTACGTCCCAAGTCGTGGAGGGACGTGGTCGAAGTCATGGCGGGACTCAACCGCGGCGAAAAGGAATGATGGTGTGCCATGCTGGAAGATGACCCGGATCCAACATTGTTTGCATGAGATATGTGAGGCGGGCGAGCGGTGAAGTTTAAAGGCGAAGAGTTGTGACGGGGCATCAAATCACTGGTTCGACGAGAATGCGGGATCACGTGGCGGTTACTGCTGTTTGGAATGGTTGTGAAGAAGAGAGGATCGGTATCGCTTCGTCAGTTGGTCAAGAGTTGAAATCGCAATCGTAAATCGTAAATCAATTGTCTGAGTTGAAAGTCTGCTTAGTTAAGGTCGTGCGATTTTAGAAATGATTCTCATAGGAAGACTGGGTCTAAGTCTGGATCTGGGTGTCTAGTCCTGGTTTCGGATGGGTTTAGGAACAAAGAAAGGATCAATCACGTCGACTCCATTTTTTACCCTGGTAGACAGTTCCGATCCAAGCCGGCAATGGAGGGGTAGAGAGGACAGGCGACAGGGTATCTGGCTTTATAGGCAAAGGGTGACAGGAGCTGAAAAATGACGTCGGGTTGATTGGGAGGAATTATTTATGTCGTCCTGCTTATATGATTGAAGTAAGAGGCGTCTTGTTCATTTCTGGTGTTCAGAGGTGTGCTCATCATGACGGCTTCAACACGTCTTTGCACCCAAATTAGAGTTGAGACGGCCCCCGCAAATCCATTTTCTAGCTGAAAATGAATCAAAAGAGTTCAACAATGGCACAATCACTGCTTTTAGTATCACATGACCCAGCCTTGGGAAAAGGAAAAACATGGAGAACTTTTTAGGTGGTGTAGACTATAACTTAACGCGGGTATTGTAGCTCCGACTGCTCCACAACCCAAAACCCGGAAAGGAAAACTTTGAACCTCATTTATTGTCTCTCGACATTGGAATTTGATCGGAGCTTGTTGATCTTCCTCTTATTATTCATCTTCGCTGCTATTCCAAAGACTTGGGCGTTCGTTGAACCACCAACCTGAACCACATACCTAGAGTTCCCGATTCTAACCCGAGGTGCTCGCTATTTATTCCTCGCCGCCAAAAATTCTTCGCCCCGCTCTTTTTCTCTCCCTTCTTTGACAATGTTGGATCAAATGGCGAACGAAATCAAACTCATCTCGGGGAGCTCCCACCCCGAAATCAGTGCCAAAGTCGCTAGTCGGTATGTTTACTTTTGTTTTGCCTAGAAGCGCGATCCGGCGCCTTTGAGGTGGTGTACAAGTTGCTGATATATTCTCAAAGACTCGGCATTGAAATCGCCAACACTATGAGCCTCAACTACTCCAACCGTGAGACTAGTGTTTCTATCGGCGAGTCCGTCCGTGATGAGGACGTCTTCATTCTCCAGTCTACTGCTCCTGGAGATGTCAACGATGGATTGATGGAGCTTCTCATCATGATCCACGCTTGTCGAACTGCTTCGGCCAGACGTATCACTGCTGTTATCCCCAGCTTTCCTTACGCGCGCCAAGACAAGAAGGACAAGTCTCGAGCTCCTATCAGTGCCAAACTGATCGCCAACATGCTCCAAGTTTCTGGATGCGTACGTTTTATCACTAACACCTTGTCCGCGAATGTACTAACAGCTATGTAGAACCATGTCATCACCATGGACCTCCACGCTTCTCAGATTCAGGGCTTCTTCAACGTCCCAGTGGACAACCTTTACGCAGAGCCCTCTGTCCTTCGTTGGATCCAAGAGAACCTTAACGTGGAAAACTGCGTGATCGTTTCCCCCGACGCTGGTGGCGCCAAGCGTGCTACCTCTCTTGCTGACCGCCTGAACACTGGATTTGCTCTTATTCACAAAGAGCGTCCCCGCCCCAACGTCGTTGGCCGCATGGTGCTTGTTGGTGACGTCCAGGACAAGGTCGCCATCTTGGTTGATGACATGGCAGACACTTGTGGAACTGTAAGTGAGCAACACATGTTTTTGTGACACCAACTAACCATACTACAGCTTGCCAAGGCTGCTGAGACCGTCCACAAGCACGGTGCCAGTGAAGTTTATGCCATCGTCACTCACGGTATTCTGAGTGGCAAGGCCATTGACACCATCAACAGCTCTGTCCTCTCTGGTCTCGTTGTTACCAACAGTAAGTAGCCCATGTCTTTATACTTGATTCCATATGCTAACTTTTATCCAGCCGTGCCTCGTAAGTTTTGAATTTGGACTCGCGCGCCCATATCTATAGTTTGCTAACTCCCAGCAGTGGGTGACAAGATTGAGCGATGTCCCAAGCTCAAGGTCATCGATGTTTCTGGAACTCTTGCCGAGGTATGATACTCCACCTTCTCGATGCGTTATGTTACTGATTGATTCGTTAGGCTATCCGACGAACTCATAACGGAGAATCCGTCTCTTACCTCTTCAACAACGTCCCCGTCTAAGATTCTTAAATGCTAGATGCAAAACAAGGTTATGGAGTTGGTAGGTCCAGCCGTCGGGTGAAGTCATGGTCGCGAACTAACAAACATCAAGCGGCGTATTTTTTATTATTTTTTTTAGAGATTGGGCCTGGACCAAGTCGATTCACGATCGTTTGGGTAAAACTCTCAAAACTCATAAAAAGAGATTTAGAATGATGCACCAAAATGTTGGGATATTGCATGCCGTTCAGAATTGCTAGCTTGAATGGTTCACAGGGCTTGTTCTGTCCATCAAATGTCGCAGCAAAGATGAATTGGGTCTATGATTCAATTGATGCACCGGGCAAAGTCTACGTATTAGCATGCTATGAGTTGACTTTATCAATTTGGCGGATTCCAGGGACTTTCCTTATGATCATGAATCGAGAACGAGAGATTCACTGGGCTGTTCTGGAGAACGTATTATGATATGCAAAACGATGCTAGCAAGATGCTCTATCTTGACTGACTAAATGAGTATAGTATCATGCTCAGTTCATGATCGTAAGACAAGATAACTTTGCCTCGTGTGATGACAATAAGATAACCTACAGACAAATAACGCTAGATGATGAATTGACAAAAAATACCAAAATTTATTGAGTTTATAATAGAGTTTGATAGAATCAAGGCTCAGAAATGTCATATTGCACTGTAAAGAATTCATTTAGCTTTCATGACCCCTTCGTCTTTAAGAAGTCATGATGGAAGTTGCGAATTGGCATGATTAACTTGGTCATTGCCCCACGTGAATAGCAGGCGGTGAGTTATTCTGCCGCCTCACCTACAAGGGACACATCACTGCCTACAAGCATCAACACCCTGTAAAGAGAGATACATCATCAATCGCGAAAATAAAATCACTCCTATAGCTGTATGGACCTACGGAGAAATCATATGCTCTGTCCTGAGCTGGAAAATTGCGCGTTCTGCCCAAGATGACGACACAACTCCTTTCCACCGAGTTGACCAATCTCATTCAGGAGAGTAAGCGGAAGCATAATGACCTGCGACAGGTGAGTTGTCTTCATCGCCGCTACAGCACAAAAAGACTTATAGTTACCACAGGCTGCAGAGAAATCATTAGACGAATTAAGGAATTTGAGAAATCCGTCTGAACAGACGGCCCCTGAAGGTCTAAGAGCTCCCCACTGTTAGTGAAAGCTATATCTGACTTGTAAACAGAGCTGTCTCAGAAACCCAACTTCGTGAACCCTTTCATCATCGCATGTGGCACAAAAAATGCAAAGTTCACTGCAATTGCCATCGTCTGTCTACAGCGCCTCATTGTTGCTCAGGCCTTACCAAGGTCCAAGTTGAATCAGGTCCTGGAGGCGTTGATGCAAGCTACATCAGCTGGTCTCGATGTACAACTCAAGATCTTGCAAGCGCTACCCTCGCTTGTTCAGAATTATGCGTCCGATCTTAAAGGAAACTTGTTGGTGACGACGTTGAACATTTGCTTTACGCTTCAGAGTAGCAAAAATGCAATTGTGAACCACACCTCAGCGGCGACACTTCAGCAACTGGTCGTGTCCGTCTTTGACAAAGTTGTCGCCGAAGATAGTGAGTCTCTCTACAAACGAAAAAAACAGGCACTAACTCCAAGTAGAGAAAGCAGGCGAAGGATCTATGAACAACGACCCAGAATACTCAGATAATCATCCTGCAGCAACCGACGCCTACAGAGTATGTACTACCATGTCTGACACTGCCATCTCTAACTTGTTTAGATCTTCAATGACTTGTGCCTAATGACTGAACACCAACGGCCAGAGTTCATTCGCGTTTCGGGACTTCAACAGACATTTGGGCTAGAACTTATTGAGTCCGTTATAACAAATCATGCCACTGTCTTCAGTAAACACCCCGAGCAAGCGCAAATTCTACGCAGCAGGGTTATGCCACTTATCATAGGCGCACTAAAGGCGAAGCCCAACTTTGCTACCACGGTCCGATTGATGCGAATTCTGTACACTATGCTGCGTAGGCATATCAGCATTTTACCGTCAGAATGCGGTGAGGCGCTGGCTGTACTAACACATATCCTTGACCAAGACGAGACTTACTGGAAAAGAGCACTGTGCATGGAGGTTTTCCGGGGGATATTTGCAGACCACGCCCTTCTCAGGCGCATTTACGCCATGTTTGATGCTACCGAAGGGGAAAAGGATGTCCTCAAACCCCTGATAGCTACATTCGTGCGCTTGAGCTCCGAGAAGCCTGCTTTGATTGGACTTGGTCCTCAATCCTCGTTACCTATGATCAGCTCAAACACTCAGAGCTCGTCTGAGCAAGCCATCGCTGAGGCCAGTGGCATGACCGGCCTGATGACAGGACCGGTTGGATCAGAAACCATTACTATAGGTATCAGCACACAGTTCAGCTCAGTACGCGTTCCCTGTATTGATCAGCTCGACAAGACTGAGGCACCTGCAATCCCAGAGTCTTACCTCTACAGTCTGGTACTGGCCTGCATCTCCAATGTCTCTGACAATCTCGCAAAGCTTGTCTTATCTATCACGGTTGGGAGTGAGACGAGAAATCGAAAGAGAACCTCTAGACAAGAATTTGGGCGTGACTCACCTGTACCCCAAAGCGAACATGAAAGCGCATCACCAAAGAGCAACCTGGAAAGGTCAACATCGTTCAGGAAGAACCCTATTCCTGTGAACCCGCTTTCACTCGTAGACCATCCTCAGCATTCCGAGGTCAAGATTTGTGCCGCAATCGTCGAAGAATGCTGGCCAGCCATTCTTGCGACTTGCTCAACGTTCTTGAATGCTGCTCTGGACTCGGAATACTACCATGGATTGGTGCGTGCGTTCCAGCGATTTGCACATGTCGCTGGTTTGTTGCAGTTGTCAACGCCCCGTGATGCTTTCCTCACAAGCCTAGGCAAGGCAGCTGTCCCGTCCAATCTCCTTACTGCTTGTGTCAATTCTGGCCAGGGCCGTCCCCAGACACCGAGTACACCAACCGATGGCAGTCTTTTCAGCAATGCTCGGGGACTCCTTAGCGTTGACAGCCTGACACCCACCACACCTACCGCTGATAAGGGAAGACAAGCATCGTTCGACGCTTCAGTTGTCTCTTTGAATACCCGCAACCTGTTATGCCTACGAGCACTTCTTAATCTGGGTATCGCGTTGGGTCCAACCTTGTCAGATGCTTGGAATATCATATTGGAGACTCTGCAGCAGGCAGACTTTGTACTTTATGTCAGCGGAAAGACTCCCGGCAGAGCACCAAGTATCAACCGAGGACTTGATTCAGGGGGTGATAACGAGACGGCAACGTTGATGCACAACTTCAGTTCTGAAGTTCGTGCTGTCGAAACTGCGGCTTCGAGACTTATTGATAGCACGATTGACTTCCCCAACGAGTCGTTTCTGGAAGTTGTGGCAGCTGTCTGTAGTTTGTTGGCGCAACGACTACCTGAACAGTCTGAGGGAGCATCCCAAGCCCAGGTACCCTCGGATGGGCAGCTCAAGGCTCCTGTCGCACAAGGCCGCAGAGCCTCTGGGCAGATGAACACTGGATCGACCCAGGAAGATAAATTCGCACTTGCCAAAATAGGCGAGCTTGCTAATATCAATATCGAACGACTTTTAGAATACAGCCCAGAAGAATCTGGCTGGGATGTACTAACCGAAAAACTCATCGACACCTTAACTTCCTCAAACACAAACTCATCCGTCCGAACAAGGGCAGCTGATATCCTTGTCAAACTGGTATCGGAAGCTGCCAATGTAACTTCTTCGCTACCAGAGGAGGCTCGCGGCGACAAACAACTGCGGTTCTTTGAGGCTCTTCGCATGTCACTAGAACCTCTGCTTAAGGGAGACCGTGAGGTGTCTCTTGCAAGCCACTCCACGGATATTGATATTCACAAAATTATCCTTGACGGGCTTCAAAGTATCATCGAGAGCAACGGAGAAACACTAGTCAAGGGATGGGACATTGCCTTTGAAATCATTGGCACCATCTTTGTTACGAGAGAACTCGACCACGAGTATCGCCGCGGCTCAGTGGCCAACCCAATTCTCCTGGACACTCGATCAGCAAAACTCATCAGGTCGTCTTTCAACTCTCTCCAGCTTATTTGCTCAGACTTCCTGGCCTCGCTACCAAATTCGTGTTTCTTGATCCTTGTCGATAATCTCTACAAGTTTTGTTCACAAGATGACGATCTTAACATTGCATTGACTGTAAGTTTTCCGCTATAATACTAGAGGAGTTCTAACGTTCTCTAGACGGTGACCTTCTTCTGGGTGTTGAGCGACTTTCTCTCATCGAAGAACGAGTCGCTTGATATCCCCGCGGAGATGATGCAAAACACGAACCCATCTGATCTTGAGAAAATGGCAGCCGACCATGAACACAAATGCTCAGATGCGGCATTGTGGATGTTGCTTCTGCTCCGACTGACAAATGTTACTACTGATGATAGACTCGAGCTTCGTAACAGCGCGATTCAGACCTTGCTAAGAATATTTGATGCATACGGCGATCGACTTAGCTCAGAGTCGTGGTCAACATGCGTCAAATCAGTTGTTTTCAAACTCTTATCATCAATCGAGCAAGAAATCAGAGTCTTGCAATCGGGAGAGGATGAAGAAGCGGATGATGGTGATCGTGCTGAGTGGACAGAGACAGCTGTTGTGGTTCTCAACGGTATCTCAAGCCTCTTGGCTAATTATCTCGATATCCTCGCAGTTCATCCCTCGTTTGACGACCTGTGGAAAGAATTGCTTACCCACTTCACTACTCTACTCGACTTCAAAGTCCTCGATATCAACACTGCGATCTTCAAGGCTCTTGCTCACATCCTGTCCGAAACTAGCAATGATGGTAAATCTGCCTTTAGCAAGACTGCGATTGATATTTCGTGGGAACTTTGGGCAAGAGAAGTCCCGACTTCAAAGCCTGTCGGTGAAAAGGCTGAAGACAACCAAAACTGCCTCATTGCCTATGTGTCGGTTTTGACAGAAATCTACCGACTCATACAAGAAACTCTTGAGGTGAATAGAGTCTCCAGGATTCTGGACTTGCTCCGCGAGACCTTGGATGAAGCCACGGTTGGTGATTACGTCAAAGATATTGAGTACATGACGCAGTTGCAGGCGCAAATTATTGAAGCCGTTCAGATGATCCGAACCGACATCGAAGGCGTTCCGTCGGCCATGATCACACAAGTTGCGGATTTTGTCGTCCTGCCATTCGTTCAGGCATCAAAATCTGGCTCGAAGCGCACATATATTGCGCTCTCCAAAATGAGTATGAAGGAACTGGAAAAGCTCATTGTCAATCATTCATCGAACTCCGACATCTATAGCAGCAACTCTTTTTACAGGGCCCTGGAAGCCTTGTGCAAGCCCATTGCGCTGAAATATGGGTTCACTACAATCACCAAATCAACACCGCCGTGGAGGCTGGCTACCTCTACAGCGCTTACTGTCCTTGAGGCGACCCTTTCACACATTACCAGCCTAGAGCTTTCGAAAGAAGTCACCCAGAAAATTTGGACTACTGTTGTGACCATCGCTGACGGAATCATGAGCGCGGACTGCAGTATTGCTCCCTCAGAGACGAATCTTGCCGACGACGAGAGCTTTGATATAGAATCATTCCACAAGCTGCGAGAACTAATCATACCTTCTCTGGGTGCAACCGCAGTTCCCGAAAAGGCTCGAACGGCTTATGCAGAGAGTCTCTTCAAGACATCGATAATTCATGCACCTTCACCAGAAGAGGAGTCGATCATCAACGGAACACATGAAAAAGGTCTATCGGCGCTTTATGGTAACCGTGCAGGTCGAACTGTATCTATACCACCAACAAAGCGCGTGAACATGGCTTATGTCACCTGCGAAGTTTTGTTTGACATGGTTGCTGCTAGAGACGAGCCAACAATTGTCATTCAGCCTCCGACGCCTCAGTTCCCCGACCCAAAACATAGTCGATTTCTTGAGTCGCCAGTTAGCCTCCATGCCCAGATCGCTAGCACAGCTGCACCATTCCTCATACTTCGATGCGCATTGACATTGAGGGCATATATTGCTGACCAGCCTCTACGGGGACGGATGCCTCAGCCTCTGAGCCAACGAAAGGAGCTGTCATGGATTCTACGGAAACTAGTTGATTTGAAGAGTGACAGTGACTCAATCCCTGAATTGAGAAATGTTGAGAGCGAGGGAAGGAAGCATCTTCTAAGACTTTATCCTCTTATTGTACGGGCGTCTGGCGTAGCTGGGCACGAGGCGGTTAGTGCTTTGTTAAGAGAAGCCCTAGAAGTTGTAGGAGAAGAGTTGGGATTTTGAGAGGAAAAACGTCTGGTCAAGATGGAATAGATATGATTTAAATTAGACGATTCTTGACGAGTCTGTAAATAGACAATTACACTTCATTAATTGACTCCGAGTTTCCAAGCCAATCCCGGTTGATCCATAGAGGGGTAACTTTACAGGGCACCCCCACCATCAACGCGGGGCACCAAATTCAGACTTCAAAAAATTCGATTACTCACAATCCAATCCATATTCAAGTCGACAGAATGGGAAAATCTTCAAAAGATAAGCGCGACGCTTACTACCGTCTCGCCAAAGAACAAGGATGGCGTGCGCGAAGTGCATTTAAGCTGCTACAGCTCGACGAGGGTAGGAACCTACGACAATTGTGTCTGTACTGTAATTGACTTTTATGCTCCTGTAGAATTCGATCTCTTCGCCGATGTCACTCGAGTCGTCGACCTCTGCGCCGCTCCCGGAAGTTGGTCGCAAGTACTTTCCCGTGTACTAATCAAGGGAGAGAAGTTTGGCAGGGTTGCTTGGCAGGATAAGGAAGCCAAGTTCCGACAGCAGATGCTGGGTATTCTACCCAAGGATGGTGATGACAGCGAGCAACAGACAACCGAGATTCAACAAAACGATGAGGAACCTGCAAAGCCACGAGAGGATGTTAAAATTGTGTCGATTGATTTACAACCTATTTCACCTCTTGCCGGTATCACCACACTTCGAGCCGATATTACACACCCTGCGACAGTGCCTCTTCTACTCTCCGCTCTTGATTCTTCGTACGACCCCAAGGCTGCTGGAACACAGGCCTCGCACCCCGTCGACCTTGTTTTGAGCGATGGTGCTCCTGACGTGACAGGTCTTCATGACCTCGATATTTACGTTCAGTCCCAATTGCTCTTTGCCGCCCTGAACCTGGCCCTCTGCGTTCTCAAGCCTGGAGGTAAATTCGTCGCCAAGATCTTCCGCGGGAGAAACGTCGACGTTCTCTACGCCCAGCTCAAGATCTTTTTCGAAAAGGTCATCGTTGCAAAGCCCCGTAGTAGTCGTGCAAGCAGCGTGGAAGCTTTCATTGTGTGCATCAACTTTCAGCCCCCCGCTGGTTTCCGCGCCAGCCTCGAAGAGCCGCTCGGCGTGGGCGGGCGGTTGGAGGAAATGCTCAAGGAGAAGGGAGATGTTGACATGCAGGACTCAATGGCAAAGGACGAGGGTGTTGTGGAGATGGAGGTTTACGATGAAGTGCCTGAAGACACGGAGAGAAACAGTCGATGGGTCGCGCCGTTCATTGCCTGTGGAGATCTATCCGCCTTTGACTCCGACGCCTCGTACCAGCTCCCCGAGGACTACGTCTCTTTGGATCCCGTTCAGCCACCTATCGCTCCTCCTTACAAACGCGCCATTGAGATGCGAGCCGCCATGTCCGGATCACAGCGCTAAAAACAAAAACAACCCCTTCAAAAGCAAAAGAAAAGTCACCCAGACGTAAAGCCATGAGTAAATGCATCGCTAGATAACAAAAAGGAAAGAAATAACACAAAGCGAAAGTGCATTTAGTGCTTGGGTGCAGGCTTCTCGGCTGGACCGGCCATTTCGAGCATTACTAGGCCGGCTGACGGACCCTTTTCGAACTCTTGAGCACCCAATTCCCTTTGATACAGCCTTGCTGCGGCTTGGTCATGGGTCATGAGAAGAAGTCCGCGCATGTGCTTCCATTCGTCGACTATCTCCTTGAGAGCTTGCATCAGCCACGACGCCAATCCCCGCCGCTGGAACTCATCGACGACGAAAACGTCTGTGAGGTAGGCCAGAGTTACGTAGTCGGTCACCACACGAGCGAAACCGACCATCTTGTGCGGGGAGCCATCTTTTGGTGAAGCGATGCCGTTTCCTAGATTGATTGTTAGCAGAGGAAGAACGCAGGATCAGACAACTTACTCTTCATTTCCTCGGCGGTCTGGGGAGTATAGTACACGGCCAGGGTCAAGCAGTTATCCAGTACCCTCTGGAGTTGTCCGTTTGGTAAGGGGCTGCTCCACCAGTTGTCATCGAGAGACTTGTTGAAGGTTCGGGGGCATAGATAGGACTTGTCGTTTGTGAGGAAGAAGTTATCGCGGTACCAGAACCGAGGTGCACCTTCGGCCTGGTTCAAAGAGTCGTGGGAGCCCATGATGATGAATATACGAACTGACGATGATGTTTGTTTCTGAGTGTCTGAAGAGAGGTTCGGTGTTTCGTGAGAGGTTCCAGGACGTTATGAATTGGGATCTAGATGTAGATGACGAAGAGCGGTCAAGGGTTCTTGAATTGAAACTCTACAAGAGCTCTCTGTCCCTGTTACTCGAACAAGACAAGGATCGTGACAATGATGTAGTCGTCAGCACGGAGGGTGTACGGCTAGCGGCGGGCTTTGCTTGGCGGGGGAGGGAACAAAACAGGGCGTGTGATGGAGAGTTTAGTAGGTGTTTGACTCGTAGAAGCAACGGTTCGTTGTAGAGATGGTCATGTGGGAACGGGAAGCAAGGTTTTGCGGGGGAAGCGAGACAAAGAGAGATGGTTCTAGAGTAAGACAGACGGTCAATCAATCAAGTGATGGCTGATCAAGTTGCAATCAAGGTATGATATTGGATGAGCACGGTGTCATACAGAAGACTCGAGCACTTGAAGCTATCTTTACCACAGGAGTTATTGCTTATTATTGATCTTTATATACATCTCGCAATTAGAAATGCATCTTGAAGTTTGATGTACAACATCAGGGACAAGCCCATGAGCTAAGACGCCCTCTTAGTGCTAGATCTTGTCATTTGATAGCATGCGTTGGTTGACGGACCTATCAGCTTCAACGCCCTATTGCTCGTCGTGGTGGAACCTTGGGGGAGATCTAAACGGGCGGAGAGCGGAAAAGGCGGGGGTGAACAGGGGGTTTAGATAAGTTGAACTTTACTCAAGTAAACAATACAGAGAGAAGGGATAAGAAGATTGAATGGGCGGAACTTTGGAAATGGGCGGAATATCCTTGGTTATGGTGGTTACAGGCGGGCAAAGACGTTTGCTTACGGGTCAAGCGGCAGGGGTAATACGGATAGAAGTACAAGGAAATTGGCGTGTCTATTATTCTATGAAAAGAGATAAAATGATGGTTTCCAGTTCTATACCCCATATCTATCCCAGATTAAATAATTAATCATCTAAAGCATTCCGGCGTAGATGGCGGCGCCGGCGAGAGCAAGGAAAGCACCGGCGGTGGGCATCGCGGCACCGGCGGTAGAAACGGCGGTCCCCGTTCCAGAAGCGGCGGACTCGGAGTCGGAAGCGGAGCCAGAATCGGATCCGGAAGTTGCGGTACCGGATCCGGCTCCGGAGGAAGCAGTGGTAGTAAGAGTGGCATGGCCGGGAGTAGTAATGGCAGTAGACTTTGCTGTATCGTTGGCCTTACGGATGCCAGAGAGGATGGGCTTGACTGCGCTCTCAGACTTGGACTCTGTGTCAGAAGCAGCTTCGGTCTCGGTGGCAGCCTCAGTCTCAGTAGCAGTACCACTGGCATTTGTCTCTGTAACAGGGGCTGAAGTGATGGTAGCAGAAACACTAGCACTCTCTTCAGAAGCACCAGTAGGGGCAGCGACTCCAAGAGTCTTGGGGTCGATAAAGAGAGGAGAGTACGTCTCGGTGCCTTCGTAGGCGGGACATCCGGGGACGGTGGTCTTGGGAGGAGCTCGGCCGCCGCCGCAGTCGAGAAGGTCGCAGATCTCGCCCGAGTCGGGGACGTACCAGATTCTCGTAGCGTACATGCCATCCGCGTTGCTAACGACTGTATCGTAGGTGGTACAGCCGGCGAGATCAGTTCTAGCCAGGGCCGGGACGGCGGCAGCAAGCGCCACGGCGAGGAATTTGGAAGCCATTATTAAAGATGTTAAATTAATGGATATAGAGGTTATTGGTAACAAGGAAATGATTCTGCTTTTCTTTCTATTATCCTACTCCTTTAAACTAGGGATACGCAATCCTTTTAAACACCATCAACACGGACCTCGTAAGTTAGCTTTAGAAACCCGCAATTTCAGGTGGGTTTAGGGGTCTGGTTTGTTTCTCCTTTTGAGTGGAGGAATCCTCCTCGCTTTGACTACTCAAGGGCCATTGCTTTCATACAATTGAGAAATATTTGCTTACTGAATTTGCTGACAGGAGTTGTGTTGGTTGTTGGCGTGCTTCAGCTTAAGAGGTTCGTGCTGAAACCGAAACGACTAACACCAACGTGGAATATGAGGCTAACTATGTACTTTCACAACGGCATTTATTAGTGAGCTGGACCAGGAGAAGTTTTACATTTGTATCAAGATTTCCATATATAAAGAAGCATGTTTCGTTTCGGCCAACATGTTTCCCTCCAGCATGAGGAAACCCATTGACTATCGGACAATATGTCCAAGATGTTTCAATGACTTCCTAATCAACTGGAGTTGACAATGTGTGTTTTCATGATCCTGCACTTAGGTAAATGAAAATTACCTAGTGCTTACAGGTTTCCCACAATGCCTGTCTCTCAATTCTCCTCCTTGTCAAGCTTCCCAATGACCGGCTCCAAAAGAAGAGGTAGATACTCTGCAGCATCCTGACCAAATGCAAAATCGCCAGGCTTGACCTTGTACATCTCCTCCTCATTCTCAGCCTCGGGATTGATGACTGCGATACGGGCGCCTTTGCGCCTGGCCTTGTCAATGTAGCCTGCAGCGGGATAGACTTGGGCCGACGTGCCGATGACAAGCATCAAATCCTAATACAGTAAATTAGATGGTGAAGGTCTTGTTTGTTGGAATAGGGACTTGACTTACAACTTTATCCTTCAAAAGCCAGTTTGTGATGCCCATTATCATGGTCTCGTCTAGATTCTCTCCAAACCACACAACGCCAGGTCTCTGTAGGCCCGTCTTGCACTCGGGGCATTTGGGGATCTCATCACGGGGAATTGGTTCTAGAGGACTGTTGGCGTCGAGAAGCGGAAATGGTTTACCAGGCTCAACATCCTCGGACGCCTGCGCTATAGCAGGGAAGAATGGATCCTTGTAGTTGTCTCGCTCGATCCACGAGCAATTTTCGTTGTTGCACTTAATGTCGAACAGAGAGCCATGCAGAGTACGAAGTTGCTCTGGTGGGTGGTTTGCTCTTGGGGATATATCTGAGTATACAATTAGCAGACAGTAATGTATAGTTGTCCTGGTGCTTACTGTCAACATTCTGGGTCAAACACAGAAAGTCCTCGTTCTTCTCGGCAAGCTTCGCCAAAGCGTAATGCGCAGGATTCGGCTGAGCACGCAGTGCCATATGACGTCTGTAGCCATAAAACATCCAGACAAGACCAGGGTCATTGTTGAAAGCGCGAAGAGTAGCAAGGGAAGTAGCATCGTAGTTCCTCCAAAGACCACCGGCACCTCGGAAAGTTGGAAGGCCGGATGAAGCTGAGAGACCAGCACCGCAGAGGGCGAGGATACGTTTACTGGAGCGGAGGGCCTCATGGAAGGCTTCGACGTCGTTGTGAGGAGCCATGGCTGTGAATAATCGGACTTTTGTTGCTGATTTGAGTGAAAAGATGAAAGATGATGATAGATGTCGAGGTGTAGTTGTGAGTATTCTCATTATGTAGAGATAGTTGGTGTAAGTTGGGCTTATATCATGAGGGAAGATATATCGACGTTACAGGGATTATTGGTAGGCTACACTCTACAGGGAGTTTGCGTCACTCGCCGTGAGATGTGATTGGATCATTGTGTAGGCAACAAACTAAAAATTTCAACGATGGCTGTTGTAAAGGAAATAAGATTCCGCTTATGCTACCTTGAGTATCATGAGTTATGATGATTGGTGAGATATTGTGATCCATATTAACATATGTCCGTCGGCATCGGTACTCCGTAAAAGGCTGTCATTACAAGGAAATCTGACCCCAATATCCGCATATACATGCTTAGATTAGACCACAAGATAAACAAAGAAAACTTCAAGATTTATAGTAGATTAGATCTGCACAGAAAGAGAATGTTATCTCAAAACTTACACATACCTACTTACTAGGTAAGCTGGTTGTTCACAAACCTACTGGACAGGTTGCAAGAAGGAAGCACAGCTTGTTGATAGCTTTCCAAACAGGTAGGTAGTTATCTTAAGATTCAAGTCTAGAAGATGAAGAAGTAGCTGCTGTGTGTACAGCTCAACGGGCGCTTCTTTCATTAGTCGCCCATATTAAGTAGTTCGGTTTTTGCTGTAGGCAGCTCTGTCACGTATATATTCTTATCAAGAAACTTAGCTGGTTATTATGGGAGGAACTCTATCGTCATGATATATTGAATATTCGATCCACAGTCCAACCTTGCAGGTACTAACTTTACATATATTGAGAAGGCTTGAACTTCACTATAGAGTTTAAAGACGTATATAAAGTCACTATCCTATCTCCCCCTACACGAAAGAAACCCAACCCCGGCCGTAACTCTACTCCAACATAACGACTGCAACATATCTTAAGCTCAAGTCATTAAAATATCTTTCCACTACAGATACATCAAACTCATCCAACATGGCAAGGTCTGCCACGCTTGAATGTCTCCCTTCCGAGCTCTTGGTCTCCATCTTGGTGCACGCATTCGACAACAAAACACCTTTTTGGATTGACTAATGTCTCCAGCTTCCAAGGCATCGACTCGACCATGGGGTCCCACGGTATGAAAATCCTTCTTAACCAAAAGATGGTCGACCTGATCGACAAGGCTGGCAAATATTTAGTCCGGAGGTTGCCGTCAAGCAGGATGTCCACCAGAAAGATTGGCTCATGGTAAACTCGATATGTCGTCGCTTCCGCTCAATCGGAAAGATACTGTTCTTCCAAACCAAAACATTTGTCATGACCCTCAACATGCATGAGAAATTGAATATTGGGACATCTTGGCTTGACCTCAGTGACCAAGAGCGAGAAATAGCGCTGCATCAGTACAAGGGTGACGAGGAGCATGCGCTCAAAGAAAGATGGTGCGCTTTAAGCGCTCAAGACCACAAACTTGCGCTATCTTACATCAAACACATTGTCTTCTCAGGCGCGATCGGTCCCTACACGTCGAATAAAAAAACCAAAACCACAATGTCCAAGATTCCCAAGCTGTTAAGCACCTTTCCTGCCCTACGACAGTGCGATCTCATACTCTGGAAGGAGGAGTCTGAGGATGGGATCCGAGATTATCAATTATATTTCAGGGATCAAGATGGCGCCGATGACCAACAGGACAATCATGCCCAAAGGGAAATTGACGTCGCACTGGCCGATGGCTTGCGTGGGACAATCGGCAGTCTCGAAAATCTTATGAAGAGTCGTGCTGTGTGTCTAAACCAAAATATCAACGAATCGGTCGGACGACAAGTCGTAATAAAATTGTTTCTCCTGACGATAAAAGTAGAGGTTTTGTTCCACGTCTTGACGAAGAATTTAGGAATTCAAGCAAATACTTAGATACCCCTTGAGACGTACCACTGGTGATATTGATCACTCTATCTTGGAGCAAAAGGGGCGAAGCTAGCAAGTCGGTTCGTGCTATTTAGGTAGACAAGACTTTAATTCTAACTATTCTGCCCTACTGTGGTTCCCATCAAAACTTATTCTTAACACAAAGTACCTACCTAGTTAGTGTTGTACACTTCATGTCGAACCCAGTTGTCATGATAAGGTTTTGAGAAAAGTTTACTCACATAACTTATATTACACTGAATCTCGTCTCTTACTATGAGTACCATCACCCTCAAACTTATCTCTTCTTCTTTCAATTGTCTACAAATCCTCAGTATAAAATTGCTTTCACTAATGGCAACGTCCAACTTGATCGTGGATATACTGATACCGGTTGGGATATCGACTTACACAAACACAGGCCCCACTAACCAGTGACGTACCTCCACCAAAAATATAAACGACCCTTCCTTCAGTCATCACTAATCTTCACCTCAACATCCTTACATCCAGCACCATCGGCCACGAGCCTTAACAGCCGCAGGCATGCAGGGCTTCAACATGGGGCGCTACGTCCCTCCAGACGTCGAAGGCACAATCTCCGCCAACGCCCTCCACAAAAAACACCCCCTCGGCGCCCGCGCCTCCAAACCAGGCTCCCTGACAGTCCGATTCGAGCTCCCTTACGCAGTGTGGTGCAGCACCTGTCCGAAGCCCACAATTATAGGCCAGGGCGTCCGCTTCAACGCTGAGAAGCGCCGCGTCGGTAGCTACTTCTCCACGCCCATCTGGAGCTTTAAACTCAAACACGTCGAGTGTGGCGGCGAGATCGAGATCCGCACTGATCCCAAGAACACGGCGTATGTGGTTGTCGCGGGCGGCGCGAAGAGGGATACGGGCGAGGACGTACCGCGCGAGGGAGATAATGTTATAATGACGGATCAGGAACGCGAGGCGCTTAGGAAGAATGCCTTTGCGAGTCTTGAGAAGACAATTGAGGATAGGGAGCAACTCAAGAATGCGACGCTGCGTATAGATGAGCTTCTTGAAGCATCGGCGAAACACTGGGACGATCCGTATACGCAGAATCAAAAGCTACGGAAGGCTTTCAGAGTAGGACGCAAGGAGCGCGAGCACGATGCAGCAGCAACGGAAGATTTGCAGGATCGCATGAGTCTTGGCATCGATATTGTGCCTGGTACAGAAGATGATGCTCGTCGCGCAGCTCTCGTTGACTTTGGTTCTGTGGAAGATGGTCGAGATCGAGCTTTGTCGAAACCGTTGTTCAAGACTGAAGAGAATAAGAAGAAATTCGGCGATTCAAAGAGTGGGAGCAAGCTTAAAGCCGACAAGGAAGTTTCGAAGCGGAAAGAGACGTTTGTGTCGGAACTCATGGGAAATACTCGTGCTGCTAAAGATCCTTTCTTGAATGATGGGCGAATTGAGACAAAGGGGCCTGCAAGATTACCTGGTGTAAAGCGGAAACGTCCAGCCCAAGAAGCAGAGTCGCATACTTCTAAACCACCAGCCAAAGCGCAGGTGAGAGCAGCAGAGAAGATGCCAACAGGTTTGGTAGATTATGATTCGGATTAAGGCTCCACGACAAGTCGTTTGGTCTTACATGCATTTACGAGATATGATACCCGGGCACAGCCCAAGTTATAGAATAGGAATTTAATTATCCTGTATATCCCTGCTGCGAAATCTCCTGGTAGAGTTGGCGGGGTGTCCAAATATCTGTTGCGGCCTCTCAGCTATTATACTGTTGACCAACAAGCCATGACATCCAGTCCCATTTCCATCTAGCTTTCCTCTGTAAGATACAAGCGAAGTAACGTGAAGCATTCCCAATATAGCACCAAACAAAATGCGATCCGAGTGCAAGCCTGCGCAATGTTTGCTGCAACTCCGTCCAATGATAGCTCCAAGTCCGCCCCTTGATCCCATGACGCCATTTGTGTGAATCGAAACGCTTGCCCAAGTCAACCCTCGAGTAGGGTGACATTATACATCATCCATCTGGCCCGCGGGCTCGTCATCTTCGTCTCCAAAACTAGCGACTGAAGATAGCTCGTCGTCATCTTCGCTCTCAGCTCCGGCTTCGTCCGCGGCTTCCTTAGAGGCGTATTTCTGGACATATTCTGGTATGGTGAGTAATTGTTTCCTCATAAGGTCTGTCCTTGCGTACCTTTGACCTTTGCATCGTAGCTCTTGGGTTCCCTTATAAGCAAAGCTGCTGCTTCTCCGTTGAGAGGATCGGTCGGGTTGGGATATCGAAGGAGTTGAGGGAGGAAGACCTCGAAAATGTTGATCATGTCGAACATGGGTGACCAGGTTTGGTTAATGACATCCAAGCACACTGAGCCAGACCTGAAGCTGTTAGCCGAGCAGAACAACTACTGGTAAGGTCGATTAAGTAAAGTACAACTCATCAATGTTAGGGTGAAAGATGCGATTGACAAAGCCAATGCTTGGAGACTTGTAAGGGTACGTGTCGGGCAGCTCGACATGGACCTTCCATGTTCCACCTTCGAATGGAGCTTCGCAATGTCAACTGTGTTGTTCGATAATGGTTTTGTCGTTTCGACTCACTTTCTTCAGGTCCTTTGAACCTAACATAGAACTCTTGCCTGAGAGTATCGGTCAGGAAATCGCTGCGAGTTGCTGGGGTGAGGAAGGGCATACACTGGTAGCTGTTAGCGGGGTAGATGTCGACATCTTAAATACGTGCTTACTATTGTCATTCACAAGTGTGACTTCGTAGTCGCTCATGAGCCTGTTCCTATTAGTCTATAACTAAGCGGTTGAGTTGAGGTTCGTACATCCTGTAGACATGTTAGCGCTATAACGACAAGGTAGATCGTCCAGAGACAACGCACTTCATGACCTGTTAGGACTACATGTTAGTTACGATGCTCCTGCAGCTTCAGCACCATATTGATGACTCACATCTGTCTCTATTCTGCGGCGAGGGCTACTCATGATGGCGGTTGGGACTGGGTTCCGATGTCGGGTTATGAAGGGTATCCAAAGTATCGGAGCTGGCGCGATGGACGTATTCGACGAGTAGACGGGTAAAGTATGAGGGAGAGGGTTTGATAGAATGTTTGGGGCGTTCCGGAGTCGGTGATATAGACGAGAGTCGTAGTAAAGTAAAGTAAAGTCAAAGTAGTTCTTGGGGATAAAGGGAAGATGGAAGTTGGGCCCAAGTCACGAGGATGTCACAGGTATGAATGATGTGGACGATAGTGATAAGCCGTAGTGTACAAGTACAAGCACGGCAGGTGCCGCTAAGTTGACCTCATGCCTCACTCTACTGACTAACGGCACCTAACTAAACTAGCTGTTATCGATAAGGGAAGGTACCGCAATGAGAGGAGATCGACAACACATCTTTCCAGGTTCGTTTTGGTGGTATGAAACAATCTTGGAGACTGAAACAGCTGCTGGCTTTAGTTTGAGTCATTGTCTATTGAATCCAAGTTTTGATGCTCGTGTTAGTTAAGCTTTGGATATGTTTCTTTGGTTTGATTTGGTTTGTCAGAGATATAACGAATTACGGTTGGGATACACAGCAGATAATCCTGAATAAGTAAGTATTATTAATAATAATAAAAATCCTCTTCTCTGTGTCACAAGTAAAATGACAAAGGTACTAACTTACAAGCAATCAGTCCTTTTGTCGAGCCAGTACTATGTATTAATACTGATGCGTGGCTGAATATCTCATCTCTCCACAATGTTACTTGCAGCAGTTAGACAGGGTTAAATGATGACGGCATCTCATATTCTTACTACAGTTCGCAAATTACATGCCCTCGGTTCTCGCATGCGTATTCGGCATTCATGATCTAAGAACCCCTCCATTTCCAATTCCTCGGGTACAAACCACGAACTCAATCGCAGCCCTTACATCTCCTCACACCATCTCGGTATGAAAAACAACCTCGGTTCATATTTAATCAGTAACTTTCTATTTTCCTCTCATTTCAATAACACAGTAAACAGTACAATAGATGAATGAATCCATTCCCCAATTCTAGACCGCCATCTACAAGAATACTCAAAGAACTGGCGGCTCAACATTTGCTGGGTCCCTTTTTCTATACCTTGAAGGGTCTAGCCCATATTAAATATCGACTTTTATTTGTTGAATAGAGCCAGAACCCTTCAGAAACCGAATGCGTGGGGCGCAGGACCAAAAGTCCAGGGGTGCTGAGAAAAAACACCAAAGATACTCAAATATACAACGTAGGGTTCATCATGGTTCAAACATGAATAAAACCGCTGCTTCCCCCGACTTTTTGAACGAATTCTTTATCTTTACTATCACAAGATAAACTCAGCCAAAAGAATTATTTCTTTCTATAATTTTTTCCCAATCAAAAACGTCCATCATAGACGCTTTGAGCTATACTTTCTGTCGGTCTGAAATTTGCCTGCAAGGTACTTCAACTTCTGTCACTCCCAACTTAAAAAGCTGCGCACGCTACACCTTGTCTTCCACACCAACACAACACAGCACAAAGACCCACATCTCTCACTCATGTCATCCCTTATCAATCCCACCATGAGGTCTTGCACCTCTCTCCTATCCCGAGTGTCCGTGTCGTCTTATCGGCCGGCGATCCGGTCCCTCGGCAGCTCCGTTCGGCCCCTCATCATCCGAGGTGTGGCGCAGTCCCGGTATAGCTCACACTCTCCCATGGGCGCACCTCCGGCTGCCCAGCGCAAGAAGGTCACTGTCGGAACCCTTCGCTCCATGCACCGCAAGGGTGATCCTATTACTGTCATGACAGCTCATGACTTCCCTAGTGGTCATGTTGCTGATCATGCTGGCATGGACATCATTCTCGTCGGCGATAGTCTTGCCATGGTTGCCCTTGGTATGGAAGACACAAGTGAAGTTGTTATGGAAGAGATGCTACTACACTGCCGGTCGGTTGCAAGAGCTACCAAATCCGCTTTCACTGTAAGGATAGACCCCTGCTCTCACATATGCAAGTCATTTATTAACTAACCCCGCCAGGTTGGTGACCTGCCCATGGGTACATATGAGATCAGCCCAGACCAGGCTCTTGCGACTGCCATCCGTTTTATCAAGGAAGGTCGTGTTCAAGGTGTCAAGCTAGAAGGTGGAAAGGAGATGGCTCCCACCATCAAGAAAATCACCACCGCTGGCATCCCTGTTCTTGGCCATATCGGTTTGACCCCTCAGCGACAAAACGCTCTTGGTGGCTTCCGTGTTCAGGGCAAGACAAGTAGCGGAGCTATGAGTATTCTCGAGGATGCCCTTGCTCTTCAAAAAGCTGGCTGTTTTGCCATGGTCGTCGAAGCTGTTCCTGCCGAGGTGGCCGCGCTCATCACTGAGAAGCTATCCGTTCCCACGATCGGTATCGGTGCTGGTAACGGTACCTCTGGTCAAGTCCTTGTGCAAGTTGACATGATTGGAAACTTTCCTCCTGGAAGGTTCCTCCCTAAGTTTGTCAAGAAGTATGGTGATGTCTGGGGCGAGAGTTTGAGAGCCATCGAGGCGTATCGAGACGACGTCAAATCCCGCCAGTACCCTGGCCCAGAGCACACATACCCAATTTCAGCAGAGGAACTTGAGAGTTTTACCAAGTCGGTAAAGGATTCATAAATTGGAAGCGTTAATACCCTAAGAGTTGTTCGTGGAGGATGCATGTCGTGTTGGTGAATTGGACAAGATATAGAGGTTGCATAGCTTGGAGTTAGGGTTAATTAGATGATATAGCTTTTGGTCCTTTCCATCATTGCAAGATAGAAGAAATTGACCTCGTTGGCCTCACCCAAAAGCAGGTGTTAGAGAGTAGGCAACGACAAGTTGACCATGTGAGTTTTTGAAGCACTAAGGACGTTAGGACTAGTCGATCAAGTGTATAAATGCCTTTATTAGAACTCACCTGATGTAAATTGCCAACAACTTCATCCAAAGACGGTGCAAACGCACTGTTGACGTACAAAAAGACACTGTCCGTCTCTTTGCACTTCAACTTCTTCCTCAAATACCTCACAACTTCTTCGAAACGTCTTGTCGCACTGATCTTGCATACATCTTGGGCCAACGACGGTGCAGACCCGACGGGTTTAAATCGCACCACGATCTTGTCCGTCTTGAAGCTTCCTGCAGCCTCGAGTGCGGCTGTGGCATCTCTTGGTAGATCAGCTAGTACTACTGAAGCCGACATGGTAAGTGGCAGATTTGGAGATGCGGCGCCGCTGCCTGCTACTTCATTGTCGGCAAGAGGCATTGGTGAGGCGATAGAAGGTGACGGTGAAGGCAATGGGGACGAGGGCCCCTGGTCTTTTGGTGTCTCCGACATTTCAATTGACTGTTATATAATATGGGAAATATTAGAGGTTTCTTGTTTTTCAGTTTGGTGAAATATGCTTGTTGGTGGTGAGTTTTCTGACATCTTATTGTTGGTGAAACGGGCGCCTAAGGTTGCTTATGACAGCACAGTGTTGGAGGCTGCGCACTGTACGCATTCATACTTCTTCATCATGACTCCTCAAACTTTTTTATCAAGATTGTTTAATCTATTCTTTTCCGTCCTCGCATTGGATCTTACAGTAGAAAGAAGTGGGCTCCTTATCTTGACGATACAAAAACTACCAACTAAGAATATGATCTTAGTAGTCTATTTACTTCGTCTCTTGTCCTTCCAACAGCCAACATTTTCAACCCGAAGCCTGTTGCAACAACAGGAAAGTCAATGAGAGACAAGAGCCGTTGAATGTTCTACCGAAATACGGTGGAGGACGAAGAAGCCAATGCATGCGTATACTTATGTGCTGCTGTCCCCCGCAAACTACTGCAGCTAGAAAGCGCTATGCGTATAACAAAACGAAGAATGAAGTGTCCGAGACACTTGACTCCAACAGGGGGTGCTCGGTACTTCAGTTGTTTGCTTCTTGGTTTTTCCATGACAAAAACCAACTCACTTTGGCACGCAAAAACCAGATGTATGTTCAAGTATTTCATGTTGTCTAACATATCAGTACATATACATGTCCCAAACACATATCTACATCAGACCTTTCTGGCCGTAATCATATGGCAATCGCTATTGCTTTCACGCTTTTGCGATAGGATTCTTCCGCTCTCATGCCCCGAGTTTTGCTTTGTACAGCCCTCATCAATCCCATCTCAAACATTTGCCCTGACCACCCTTCTCGAAATGGACCTAGACGAACGCCCCAGTATGCATCAAGACCAACAGCAACACAAATGAAATGGCCGAAAGACCGTGGGGGTAAACCAGCTAGAATGAAAAAGACACCATGCCGCTCTGCGCCGTTGCATGCAGTTCATGCTTATAAGGTATAAGAAAGCGAAAATAAAGAACACAGAGACATCTCTAACCGAAAGAATGCCTTTAATTGCCGCTAGGTAGCACAAAGTTAACCAAATTCAGGAAGTATCTTTTCTGTTGTTTGTATACAGCGTGTGGGTGGGAATCTCAAGGTAGGTGCGCCAAATGGACTTCATAAAGGTCGGTTTTGGGAGGATGGTTCTGTCATGATCCAAGAGCTGTGAGGTCATGGCATGGTTTGAGATGATCATGACATGGAAGAGGCCGTATATCGTATTATAATATGGATAGTCATCACCATGCTTCCTCCTCGTCAGATCCGGGTCCGTACTTTGGCATCCTCTTGATTTGCGATAGAAGAGAATCAAGTTCAATCCAATTGTCGTCGTTCTCGGCAAACTTTCGGTGTTTTCGTGATAGGATGTGCTACAAAGGTTAGTCATAAGGTTCAAGAACAGTCAAATAAGTTACTTACCTCGTCAAAATCGCGGAACTTATCCTGGCAGTTCTCGCAATAACCGGGCTTGAGGTCCTTTTTACTCTTAAGTGGTTGGGACTGTGTTCTTCGCTCAGTCTTTTGAGCTTCCTCCTCTTGCACCTCAGCGGGTCGTGATGTGTGTCGGCCCATCGTTGTTGATCGGCTAG